CTATTCTGCGCTGAAGTAGGCGGAAACCGTTAGCAAGCCACAACTAGCCACAACTTCCGTAAACATAGAGCACGCTCGCTGCGGTTGACGTCATCGTGTCCTCCAGTGTGCATGTGGGACACTTTCGGGCCGTTTACCGTTCACACTGGAGTCACGGACAAGTCGCATTTAATTGGAAATGTGAACGACCTCGCAAAAACATCGGATTTCACAAAAAAATCGGAATTGAGCGTTAAGCCCTGCAGTCTGAACGGAGCCTTAGTCAGACAAATGTTTCCTTTTTGGTTCTTCCTGTGGATCAGTCCTGCCCATCACCTTCACCTTTCACTATTTTTCAATTCCGTTGGGAAGAGAAACAGTTTGAACGGAGGTTTGAGTCACACACATCTGATTCACTTTTGCATTTATGGAGTTCACAAACACATTTCTCGAGTCGTTTTCCGCTGTTAGGATCCAACAACCACACAATTAACGATGTCCGAATCCCAAAACTAAAATATGACAATATCAGAACCAGAAACAAAAGTGATATGGTTCAAAAGACTTGAAAAGATCGACTTTGACAATAGACACATCCCACTGGGAAAACAAACATGGAGGTTTTGATGCTCACTTTTTCCTAAGATCTTTCCCAGTGTGAATTTCGCAATGAGCAGAAGTCCGAGATTTGTGATGCGTCTATTAAAGTTTCATGTAAATGTGGCAAATGTGAAAAAAATCATTGGTCCGATTTAAAATCCCCAGAATTCAATGCGCCTCATCTTTGAATTTTTAAACAATTGAGACATTTTTTCTCGTGGTCTCTACCCTCAGATTATCCTGGAGGTTCTCACCCGATGGTCGTCTGCGTCTCCAGCGAGAAGAGGAAGGCGGCGGTGAAGCTCCTGACCTCGTACACGCAGGGGTCGGAGGTCGGGTTCTGGACGTCCCCGTGGGCGATGGCGATGACCCAGAAGAGCAGCCCGAAGAACATCCACGACAGGATGTAGGACAAAGCGAAGACCAGGAACATCACCCTCCAGCGGATCTCCACCAGCGTCGTGAAGATGTCCGTCACCAGGAGCAGCCACTCCTCCGGAACGTGCCGGAAAATCACGTTACCTGAGCCGTCTTTACGCACGAACCTCTGACGGGAGCAGGGGGCGTGGCCAGAGGGGGCGGGGGGCGGGGCTTCAGAGGAGTTCACGGAACAATACTGAGCCTTGGACATCCTGGAGGAACCTGAGGAGACACAGAGGAACCTGAGGAGACACAGAGGAACCTGAGGAGACACAGAGGAACCTGAGGAGACACAGAGGAACCTGAGGAGATACAGAGGAACCTGAGGAGACACAGAGGAACCTGAGGAGATACAGAGGAACCTGAGGAGACACAGAGGAACCTGAGGAGACACAGAGGAACCTGAGGAGATACAGAGGAACCTGAGGAGATACAGAGGAACCTGAGGAGATACAGAGGAACCTGATGAGATACAGAGGAACCTGAGGAGACACAGAGGAACCTGAGGAGACACAGAGGAACCTGATGAAATACAGAGGAACCTGAGGAGACACAGAGGAACCTGATGAAATACAGAGGAACCTGAGGAGATACAGAGGAACCTGAGGAGATACAGAGGAACCTGAGGAGATACAGAGGAACCTGAGGAAATACAGAGGAACCTGAGGAGATACAGAGGAACCTGAGGAAATACAGAGGAACCTGAGGAACAGGTTTCTGGAATGGACTTGTTTTAGATGAATATTTTGATCTAAAATGTCCAAATTATAACAGAATGATCTGGATTTAAACCAGGACTAGACTAGTACTAACCTGGTCTGAAACTGGACTAACCCAGATTTAAACGAGAACTAAACCAGGACTAAACTAGAACTGAACTAACTCAGAATTAAACTAGGTCCAAAGCAGAACTAAACCATGACCGAAGCAGTAAACATGAGAAATTATGAGTTGTAACATTAGGACTAAACCAGGACTAAACCAGGACTAAACCAGGACTACTAAACCAGGTCTAAAAGGAGACTTGATGTGTGCGGAGAAGAGGCCTGGGCCAGAGTTTGATGTAAAGTTCTAAATGATCCGAGTCTTTCCCGTTTTTCTCGTGAACCTTCACCACAAAAAACACAAAACAGAATCTGAATAATTTACTGTAATTTCAAAACAACTTAATTTTTTTTTTCTCCGATTTCCGATCAGACGATTTGGATTTGGTCCGAACGCACGAGGATTACAGGAAAACCAGGGAACGCCCAAAACACGAGTCCAGACCTGAGAGACCAGGATCAGTCCGGGTTCAGTCCAAGTTGAGACCTGCTCTGGACCTGGTCCGGTTCTGATTTAGTCCTGGTCAAGTACAGTTCAAACCTGGTCCAGACCTGGTTCAGACCTGGTCCAAACCTGGTCTGTTCAGACCTAACCTGGTCTGAGACCTGGTGGTCACCGGTTCTGATTTAGTCCTGGTCAAGTACAGACCTGGTCCAGACCTGGTTCAGACCTGGATCCAGACCTGGTCCAATGGTCAGACCTGGTTCTGACCTGATCCAGACCTGGTCCAGATATGGTTCAGACCTGGTCCAGACCTGGTTCAGACCTGGTCCAGACCTGGTCCAAACCTGGTTTAATCTGATTCAGACCTGGTCCAATTCTGGTCCTGGTCCAGACCTGGTCCAGACCTGGTTCAGACCTGGTTCTGACCTGATCCAGACCTGGTCCAGATATGGTTCAGACCTGGTTCTGACCTGGTCCAGATATGGTTCAGACCTGGTCCAGACCTGGTTCAGACCTGGTCCAAACCTGGTTTAGACCCGGTCCAGACCTGGTCCAAACCTGGTTTAGACCTGGTCCAGACCAGGTCCAGACCTGGTCCAAACCTGGTTTTGACCCGGTCCAGACCTGGTCCAGACCTGGTTCTGACCTGTTCCAGACCTGGTCCAGACCCGGTCCAGACCTGGTCCAAACCTGGTTTTGACCCGGTCCAGACCTGGTCCAGACCTGGTCCAGACCTGTTCCAGACCTGGTCCAGACCCGGTCCAGACCTGGTTCTGACCTGATCCAGACCTGATCCAGACCTGGTCCAGACCTGGTTCTGACCTCATCCAGACCTGGTCCAGACCTGGTCCAAGACCTTTCCAGACCTGGTCCAGACCTTCCAGACCTGGGACCTGACCTCGTCCAGACCTGGTTTAGACCTGGTTTAGACCTGGTCCAGACCAGACCTGGTCCAGACCTGATTCTGACCTGGTCCAGACCTGGTCCAGACCTGACCTGGTTAGACCTGACCTGGTTTAGACCTGGTTTAGACCTGGTCCAGACCTGGTCCAGACCTGACCTTCTGACCTGGTTTAGACCTGGTTTAGACCTGGTCCAGACCTGGTCCAGACCTGGTTTAGACCTGGTTTAGACCTGGTCCAGACCTGGTTCAGACCTGGTCCAGACCTGGTCCTGACCCTGCTGAGGTTCTGTTTGAGGATGTTCTTGTGGTTTTGGATTATGATTTTCCATAATTTCTTTTTTCCGGTTTCAGTTGACGTCAGAGCGAATTAAGAAAAAAACTGTTCAGGAAACGAGAAAAACACTCCACCAAGAAATGTCCCACACTGGAGCTACTACTACTACTACTACTGACTACTACTACTGCTACTACTACTGCTACTACTACTGCTACTACTACTACTACTACTGCTACTACTACTACTACTACTACTGCTACTACTACTACTGCTACTACTACTACTACTACTACTGCTACTACTACTACTACTACTACTACTGCTACTACTACTACTACTACTGCTACTACTACTACTACTACTGCTACTACTACTACTACTGACTACTACTACTACTACTACTACTACTACTACTACTACTGACTACTACTACTACTACTACTACTACTACTACTACTACTACTTGTACTTCTGCTACTACAATTACTACTAATACTACTACTATTACTATTACTACTTCTACTTGCATTATTACTACTTCTACCTCTACTTCTACTACTACAACTACTTCTGCGATTACTTCTCCTCCTACTACTACTACTACTCCTAATACTACTTCTACTACTCTATATCTCTACTCCTGTTTCCTTGTTTCCTATCTCCTAGTTTGTTTCCTGTCCCCTCGATGCCTATCTCCTTGTTTCCTTTGACCTTCTCGTCCTCCGTTACGTTTGTTTGTTTGTTTTTCCCACACTTCTTTTTTCCTTCACTGATTTCCGTTCATCCACAAACCGCAGAATTACACTTTCACAGGAAGGTTCCTTCATTCTCTCCATCCCTCCCTCCCTCCATCTCTCCTCCCTCATCCTCCTCTCCCATTATCTCCCTCTTTATTTCTCTATTTTCTTTTTCTCTCCCTTCCTCCCTCTTTCCTTCCCTTCTCTCTCTCTCTGTATCTCTTCTACATCCCTCTTTTCTCTCTCCATTTCCCTCTCCTCTTCCCTCCCTCTCTCCATCTCCCCTCTCTCTTCTCCCTCTTTCCCCTAACTTCTTCTCTTTCTCTTTCTCCTCCTCTTCCTCCCTCCATCTCCCTCTCTCTTCTCCTTTCCTTTTTCCTCCTCCTCCTCCTTTTCCTTTTTCTCTTCTCTCTCTCTCTCTCCCCTCCTTTTCCCTCTCCCTCTTCTCCTCCCTCTCTCCCTTTTGTTCCTTATCTGCCTCTTTCTTCTCTCTCCTTTCCTCTCTCCTCTTCCCTCCCTACCCTCCCTCCGTCTCCCTTCTCTCCGTCTTTCCTCTCTTTCCCTCTCTCTCCTCCCTCTTTCCTTTCTCTCCTTCACCTTCCTCACCTCTCCATCTTTCCCCCTTCTTGTCTTCCTCTCTCCCTCTCTCTTGTCCTTTCCCTCCCTCTCCTCTTTCCTCTCCTCCTCCCTACTTTTCTCTCCTCCCTCCCTCTCTTTCTTGTCCTTCTCTCTTGTCCCCTCTCTCCCCCTCTCTTTCTTTCTTGTCCTTCTCTCTTCTCCTCCCTCCCTCCTCCTTTTCCTTCTCCTTCTCTCCTCTCCCTCTCTTACCCCCCCTTCTCCCTTTCTTTTTTCTTTCTTCTCCCTCTCTCCTCTCCCCCTCCCTCCCTCTCTTTTTCTCTCTCGCCCCTCCCTCCTCCTCCCTCACTCCCTTTCTTTCTTTCTTTCTTTCTTGTCCTTCTCTCCTTCTCTCTCTCACTCCTCTCCCTCTGTTCTCTCCTCCTCCCTCTCTTTCTTGTCCTTCTCCCTCTCTCCTCTCCCTCCCTCGTTCTTTCTTGTCCTCCTCTCTCCTCTCCTCTCTCTCTCCCTCCTTTCTCCTCCTCCTCCCTCTCTCCCTCGTTCTTTCTTGTCCTCCTCCTCCCTCTCTCCCTCGTTCTTTCTTGTCTCCTCCTCCTCTCCTCCTCCTCCCTTGTTCTTTCTTTCCTCTCCCCTCTTCCTCATTCTTTCTTGTCCTCCTCCTCCTCCTCTCCTCTTTGTTTCCTTTCCTCCTCTCCCTCCTTCTCTCCCTGTTCTTTGTCCTCCTTCCCTCTCTCCCTCGTTCTTTCTTGTCCTCCTCTCCTCCTCCTCCCTCTCTTCTCTCTCCTCTCTCTCCCTCTCTTTCTTGTCTTCTCCTCTCTCTCTCCTTCGTTCTTTCTTGTCCTCCTCTCCTCTCTCCCTCGTTCTTTCTTGTCGTCCTCTCTCTCCCTTGTTCTTTCTTGTCTCCTCCCTCCTCCTCCCTCTCTCCCTCTTTCTTTCCTCCTCCTCCTCTCTCCTCCTCCTCTCTCCCTCCTTCTCTCCTCTCCTCCTCTCTCCCTCGTTCTTTCTTGTCCTCCTCCTCCTCCTCTCTCCTCTCCTCCCTCGTTCTTTCTTGTCGTCCTCTCTCCTCCTTGTTCTTCTTGTCCTTCCTCCTCTCTCCTCCTCCTCCCTCTCTTGTTCTTCTTGTCCTCCTCCCTCTCTCCTCCTCCTCCCTCGTTCTTTCTTGTCCTCCTCCTCCCTCTCTCTCCTCCTCCTCCTCGTTCTTTCTTGTCCTCCTCCCTCTCCTCCTCCTCCTCGTTCTTCCTCCTCCCTCTCTCCTCCTCCTCCCTCGTTCTTTCTTGTCCTCCTCCCTCTCTCCTCCTCCTCCCTCGTTCTTTCTTGTCGTCCTCCTCCTCCTCCCTCGTTCTTTCTTGTCCTCCTCCTCCCTCTCTCCTCCTCCTCCCTCGTTCTTTCTTGTTCGTCTCTCTCCTCCTCTCCTCCCTCGTTCTTTCTTGTCCTCCTCCTCTCTTCCTCCTCCCTCGTTCTTTCTTGTCGTCCTCTCCTCCTCCTCCCTCTCTCCTCCTCCTCCCTCGTTCTTTCTTGTCCTCCTCCTCCTCCCTCTCTCCTCCTCCTCCCTCGTTCTTTCTTGTCGTCCTCTCTCTCTCCTCCTCCTCCCTCGTTCTTTCTTGTCGTCCTCTCGTGCCTGTTCCGCTCCATTAGATTCCACTTAGCTTTAATGACGTTCCGTTCCGTGTGTTTCTTCCGTGTTTTTCCGTGTTTGACCACAGCAGGTCAGGCCCCGAGGCTCAAAGGCACAAGGGCAGAACAACGGAGGGAGGGAGGGACGGAGAGATGAAGGGGGGGAAAGAGAGAGCAGAGAGAAAGTCAGGTTAGAAACAGAGAGAGTGAAGGAGGGCGGAGAAAGAGAAAGAAGAGAGAGAGAGAGAGAGGAGGTAGAGGAGAAGCAGGGGAAAGGGCAAAGACAAAAAAGAGGAGAGAAGAAAGAGAAAAGTGAGAGAGAGAGAGATTTGTCAAACCCATGGACTGTTTATTTAAATGGACAAATGTAACGTGAAAGTCACAGCTTCCAAACAGGAAGTGAACATGGGAGCGAGGGCTGGTATCGTTAAGAAGTTGCCGATACGATACACACCTCGATACACAGGCCACGATACGATACATATCTCGATACAGTGCACTTTCTATTTGATATGATATATTTCAAATCAATTCAATACGGTTCAATAAAAATAAAGTCTAAATCATGTCTATGATACTAAAAGTGTTTGTTAAACCACTTCTTCTTGTGCAAAGTTCATATGAAAACACAAACATTTTAATCATCAAAACAGTGAAAATGTGAAATGTGTCGCATAAATGAGTTTCCTTTCACTCCACAAGCAACAAAACTGTAGCTGTAACAAAATAATTTAGTAAAACACACCTAAAAATACTCTTGCTGATATATCGATACAGTAGCTCATGATATCGATACTGTGTCATCACATTAAAGATACGATATATCGATATTCCTAATGGGAGCACTTCCTGCTCCATCGACTCTGACCGAGTGGAAACTTCACAGAAAAACACAATTATGACTTTTAATCTTAGAATTATGACTTTCTGTGAGGCTTCTATCAATCCATTTTCTTTTGTTTATCTGCAGTCGGGTCTCGGGGGCATCAGTCTAAACAGGGACTCCCAGACTTCCCTCACCCCAGACACTTCCTCCAACTCCTCCTGTGGAACCCTGAGGTGTTCCCAGGTCAGTCCATAGACATCGTCCCTCCAGTGTGTCCTGGTCTTCCCCGGGGCCTCCTCCCGGTGGGACATGAACACCTCCTGAGGGACACGTCCAGGAGACATCAGAACAGACGTCCTCCCCTCAGCCGCTCCTCTCCATGTGGAGGAGCAGCGGCTCTACTCCGAGTCTCCTCACTCTGTGTCTCTAATGGAGCGTCCAGACACCGAGCGGAGGAAACTCATCTGTGTCGCTTGGATCAGGAGTCTCGTCCTTTCGGCTCATGACCAGAGGTCTGAGGATTTTCTGTGAGACTGGTTCGGTTCGATTTTTTTTATTTGGTCTGTCTCAGAATCGAGTCTTCTCGACTCAGACTCTCGTTCACTTTGTTTATATTGAACAGTTGTGGCTCGTCTCTCTGCACCTGCTGCTGTGGCCTTCAAATTTGCTCTTAAATCTTTGCATTAACCTCTTGAGACCCGACCCATGTTTTGTCTGTGTGTGCATTTTTATTTGTCCTTGATATGTGTGTGTGTATGATGTGTGTGTATAGTGTGTGTGTGTGTGTGTATAGTGTGTGTGTGTGTGTGTGTGTCTGCTATAGTGTGTGTGTGTGTGTGTGTGTATAGTGTGTGTGTGTATAGTGTGTGTGTGTGTGTGTGTGTGTGTGTGTGTGTGTGTGTGTGTGTGTGTGTGTGTGTGTGTGTGTGTGTGTGTGTGTGTGTGTGTGTGTGTGTGTGTGTGTGTGTATAGTGTGTGTGTGTGTGTGTGTGTGTGTGTGTGTGTGTGTGTGTGTGTGTGTGTGTGTGTGTGTGTGTGTGTGTGTGTATATGTGTGTGTGTGTGTGTGTGTGTGTGTGTGTGTGTGTGTATAGTGTGTGTGTGTGTGTGTGTGTGTGTGTGTGTTTGTGTGTATAGTGTGTGTGTGTGTGTGTGTGTGTGTGTGTGTGTATGTGTGTGTGTGTGTGTGTGTGTGTGTGTGTGTGTGTGTGTGTGTGTGTGTGTGTGTGTGTGTGTGTGTGTGTGTTTATAATAATCTGGTCTGGTCTGTGTTTTGTGACACACTCCTGAGTTTGTTCTGTAAACACTGAAGCTCAGGGCACAACACGAGACCACGACTCAAGAAGTACTGCAAATGTATATAAGTACACACAGTATATACACACCGAGACATACCACTACTGCAGTACTACTACTATTACTACTACTACTACTACTACTGCTACTGCTGCTACTGCTGCTACTGCTATTAGTATCAGGCACTGTATACAAAATACACACATTGTACATTTGGTTCAGACCTACTGTAGACCTAGACCTACTTTAGACCTGGTTTAGACCTGGTTTAGACCTGGTTTAGTTCCCATTGTTCTCTTTGATCCTCAGACAAAGGACATTCACTTTTGTTTGTGTAAATTCCCTGAGCGACAAAAAGAAAAAAGTGAAATCTGAGAAAAGTTTTAACAAACAACAAAGAATAAAAACAAAGGACTGAAACAGGTTAAAACAGGATTAAAACAAAGTCTGAACCAGCGCTGAACTAGGTGTGAAGTCTGAACCAGGACTAAACCAGGACTGAACCAGGACTAAACCAGGTCTGAACAGAACTAAACCAGGACTGAACCAGGACTGAACCAGGTCTGAACTAGAACTGTATTATAATGTATATATAACGCAATAAAAATATAAAAATTATGATTTTACTCAAGCAAATGTGAAGATAGTTTTTTACATTATTAAAAAAAATAATGAAATGTTGTAAAATGTGAATGATCCTGTGACATCTTCACAGTAGACGTCCGTGTGAGTCTCTGTGTGACTCTTTGGGCAGTGATGTTTCACTCGCTTCACTGTTCACTCTGTTCTGAAACTGTGCACGTGAACACTGTGCACGTGAACACACAACACATGCACGTGAACACTGTGCACGTGAACACACAATACATGCACGTGAACACTGTGCACGTGAACACTGTGCACGTGAACACTGTGCACGTGAACACACAATACATGCACGTGAACACTGTGCACGTGACACTGTGCACGTGGACACTGTGCACGTGAACACACGTGAACACACGTGACACACGTGCACGTGGACACTGTGCACGTGAACACACAATACATGCACGTGAACACTGTGCACGTGAACACTGTGCACGTGACACACAGTGCACGTGGACACTGTGCACGTGAACACTGTGCACGTGGACACTGTGCACGTGAACACAACACATGTGAACACTGTGCACGTGGACACTGTGCACGTGGACACTGTGCACGTGGACACTGTGCACGTGCTTGATGTTTTACACACATATTTTTATCTTTGTGCATCAAGTAAATATTTTACGTTATATTTTATATATTTTATATTTGTGTTATTGATTCACTTTGTTGTTTTTAAATATGTTATATAAATTAAATGACTTGACTTGACATAAATTCATACAGATTATTTTTATCAATTGTTCCCATAAAGTCCATAAAGTTTTTAGTCCCACTCAAGTCCCCATTTAGTCCTGCTTAATCCTGGTTTACACCTGGTCTAGTCCTGCTTTAGTCCTGTTCAGACTTGGTTAAGACTTAGTCCTGGTTTAGTCCTGCTTTGCTTTAGTCCCAGTGTAGTCCTGCTTCAGTCCTGCTCTGGACATGGTTAAGACCTGATTAAGACCTGATTTAGTCCTGGTTCAGTCCTGGTTTAGTTCTGGTTAAGACCTGAGAAAGACCTGATTAAGACCTGGTTTAGTCCTGGTTCAGTGCTGGTTAAGTCCTGCTTTAGTCCTGGTGTAGTCCTGGTTTAGTTCCTGGTTGTAGTTCCTGGTTAGTCCTGGTTTAGTCCTGGTTTATCTGGTTTAGTCCTGGTTTAGTCCTGGTCCTGGTTTAGTCCTGGTTTAGTCCTGGTTTAGTCCTGGTTTAGTCCTGGTTTAGTCCTGGTGTAATCCTGGTTTAGTCCTGGTTTAGTCCTGGTTTAGTTCTGGTTGAGTTCCCGTTGTGACTTTGATCCTGACCTAAAGACGCGTCACAGTTTGTTTTGTGAATTTTTAAACAGGAAATATAAATATTAAAATTAAATCCACAATTTTTTCTGTTCAGATTTGTTCAAACTTCGTCTCTGTCCCACAGGAGGGTCTTACCTGCAGCCTCGGTCCAGACTTAGTCCTGGTTCGGTCCTGGTTCGGTCCTGGTTTGGTCCTGGTTCGGTCCTGGTTTATTTCTGTCTCTGATCACGTGACGTCTCTGGATCGTCCTCTTCTGTCCGACCCGACCGGACTACAGTGACAGGCGAGTGGGGCAGGTGAGACAGGTGAGTGGGACAGGTGAGACAGGTGAGACAGGTGACTCTTTAGCCCCGCCCCTTTTTGTCCAGGTGAGCCGCGAGGTGTCCAGGTGAAGGAGGCGACTCCGAGGGACACGGGACGACTGACAGGTCCCTGAAACACACAGGTGAACAAGACAGGTGAGGTCTGCAGGTGAGGGGGCGGAGCTAAAGGAAGAGGAGGAGAGAGAGAGAGAGAGAGAGAGAGAGAAAAGAAGGGAGAGAAGAGGAGGAGTGTGTGTGAGAGAAAGAGAGAAGGGAGGGAGAGAGAGGAGGGAGAGAGAAAAAGAAGGGAAAGAGAGGAGGAGTGTGTGTGTGTGTGAGAGAGAGAGAAGTGAGGGAGAGCGAGAGAAGGAGAGGAGAAGGGAGAGTGAGCGAGAGAGAGAGAGAGGAGGGAGAGAGGGGAGAGAAGAGAAAGGAGAGAGGGGGGAGGAGGAAGAAAGAGGACAAGCAAGAGGGAAGAACAGGAGGGAGAGAGAGAGAGAGGAGAAGGAGAGGAGAAGGGAGAGTGAGAAGAGAGAGAGAGAGAGAGGAGGAGAGAGGAGGAGAGGAGAGAGGGGAGAGAAGAGAAAGGAGAGAGGGGGGAGGAGGAAGAAAGAGGACAAGCAAGAGGGAAGAACAGGAGGGAGAGAGAGAGAGAGAGGAGAAGGAGAGGAGAAGAGGAGAGAGGAGGGGGAGAGAGGAGGGAGAGAGAGAAGAGGAAGAGAGAGAGAGAAGAGGGAGAGAGAGAGACGGGACAGAGAAGAGGGGGAGAGAGAGAGAGAGGAGGAGAGAGAGAGAGGGGGAGAGAAGAGGGAGAGAGAGAAGAAGGAGAGAGAAGAGGGAGGAGAGAGAAGAGAGAGAGAGAGAGGAGGGATAGAGAAAGAGGAGAGAGAGAAGGAGGGGAGAGAGAGAAGAGGGAGAGAGAGAGACGGGACAGAGAAGAGGGGGAGAGAGAGAGAGAGAGAGGACGGAAAGAGAGAGGAGGGAGAGAGAAGAGGGGGAGAGAAGAGGGAGAGAGAGAAGAAGAGAGAGAGAAGAGAGAGAGAGAGAGAAGAGAGAGAGGAGAGGAAGAGAGAGAGGAGGAGAGAGAGAGACGGGACAGAGAAGAGGGGAGAGAGAGGAGAGAGAAGAGAGAGAGAGAGGAGAGAGAGAGAGAGGAGGAGAGAGAGAGAGAGAGAGAGAGAGGAGAGAGAGAGAGAGAGAGGAGAGAGAGAGAGAGGAGAGAGAGAGAGAGAGAGAGGAGAGAGAGAGAGAGAGAGAGGGAGGAGAGAGAGAAGAGAGAGAGAGAGAGAGAAGGAGGAAGAGAGAGAGAGAGAGAGGAGGGATAGAGAGAGAGGAGAGAGAGAGAGAAGGAGGGAGAGAGAGAGAGAAGGAGGGAGAGAGAGGAGAGAGAGAAGAGAAGGGAAAGAGAGAGGAGGGAGAGACAGAGAGGAGGGAAAGAGAGAAAGAGGAGGAGAAAGGAAGAGAGAGGGGAGAGAATAGAAGGGGAAGGGAGAGAGAGAGAGGAGGGAGAAAGAGGAGGAGTGAGAGGGAGGGATAGAAGGAAGAGGAGGGAAAGAGAGAGAGAGGAGGAGGAAGAGAGAAGTAACGCTTGGAATGGATCTCTGTCCTGTCAGCCATGCTCAGGTGAAACGACAGGTGAAGTCAGGTGAAACGTCAGGTGAAACGTCAGGTGAAAAGTCAGGTGAAACGACAGGTGAAACGTCAGGTGAAACGACAGGTGAAATGTCAGGTGAAACGTCAGGTGAAATGTCAGGTGAAACGACAGGTGAAACGTCAGGTGAAACGTCAGGTGAAACGACAGGTGAAACGTCAGGTGAAATGTCAGGTGAAACGACAGGTGAAATGTCAGGTGAAACGACAGGTGAAACGTCAGGTGAAATGTCAGGTGAAACGACAGGTGAGGTGAACGACAGGTGAAACGTCAGGTGAAAACAGGTGAAAAGTCAGGTGAAAAGTCAGGTGAAACGTCAGGTGAAACGACAGGTGAAACGTCAGGTGAAATGTCAGGTGAAACGACAGGTGAAACTGTCAGGTGAAACGACAGGTGAAATGTCAGGTGAAACGACAGGTGAAACGTCAGGTGAAATGTCAGGTGAAACGACAGGTGAAACGTCAGGTGAAAAGTCAGGTGAAATGTCAGGTGAAACGACAGGTGAAACGTCAGGTGAAATGTCAGGTGAAATGTCAGGTGAAACGACAGGTGAAACGTCAGGTGAAATGTCAGGTGAAACGACAGGTGAAATGTCAGGTGAAACGACAGGTGAAACGACAGGTGAAGCAACAGGTGAAACGTCTGCTCTTGTGGCTGACCTGCTCTAAACGCTCAGGTGAGAGTAAGAGGACGAGGAGTCACATGACCTGAGTCTGAAACACAAACACAAAATGTTTGGACACAAACTGGACTCAGACTCAGAGCGACGCCGTTCCACAGATCTGCTCCGGGTTTTCACTTTGTTTTGTGCATAAAAATGTTTATTTACTGTCAGCATCAGCGGCACCGAAAGGCCCCGGTCCAGACCCACGGGCGAGTCCAGCTCCTGGTCTGGTTTTCATCATGGTCTTGGTCTGGTCTTGGTCTGGGTCTGGTCTGGGTCTGATCTTGGTCTGATTTTGGTCTGATCTCGGTCTGATCTTGATCTGGTCTTGGTCTAGTCTTGGTCTTTGCCTGGTCTTGGTCTTGGTCTTGGTCTTGGTCTTGGTCTGGTCTTGGTCTTGGTCTGTCCTGGTTTAGTCTTGGTCTGGTGCTGGTCTGGTCTTGGTCTGGTCTGGTCGGGTCTTGGTCTTGGTCTGAGTCTGGTCTTGTTCTGGTCTATTCCTGGTCTTGGTCTGGCCTTTGTCTGCGTCTGGTCTGATCCTGGTCTGGTCCTGGTCTGGTCTCGGTCTGGTCTTGTCTTGGTCTACTTTAGTCCTGGTCTGGGTCTGGTCTTGGTCTGATTTTAGTCCTGGTCTTGGTCTGGTCTCAGTCCTGGCTTTGGTCTGGTCCTGGTTTGAGTCTCAGTCCTGGTCTTGGTCCTGGTCTAGTCCTGGTCTTGGTCTGGTCTTGGTCTAGTCCTGGTCTTGGTCTGGTCTTGGTTTAGTCCTGGTCTTGGTCTGGTCTTGGTCTGAGTCTTGGTCTGGTCTTGGTTTAGTCCTGGTCTTGGTCTGGTTTTGGTTTAGTCCTGGTCTTGGTCTGGTCTTGGTCTAGTCTTGGTCTTGGTCTAGTCCTGGTCTTGGTCTGGTCTGGTCTGGTCTGGTCTGGTCTTGGTCTGGTCTTGGTCTAGTCTAGTCTGGTCTGGTCTGGTCTTGGTCTGGTCTTGGTCTAGTCTGGTCTGGTCTTGGTCTGGTCTTGGTCTAGTCCTGGTCTTGGTCTGGTCTCGGTCTGAGTCTCGGTCTGGTCTGGTCTTGGTCTAGTCCTGGTCTTGGTCTGGTCTTGGTTTAGTCCTGGTCTTGGTCTGGTCTGGTCTTGGTCTAGTCCTGGTCTTGGTCTGGTCTTGGTTTAGTCCTGGTCTTGGTCTGGTTTTGGTTTAGTCCTGGTCTTGGTCTGGTCTTGGTCTAGTCCTGGTCTTGGTCTGGTCTCGGTCTGAGTCTTGGTCTGGTCTTGGTCTAGTCCTGGTCTTGGTCTGGTCTTGGTTTAGTCCTGGTCCTGGTCTTGGTCTCGGCTCAGACTCTTTGTCGTCTGAGTTCTTTGTCTGAGCTGAAGTGGGTTAGTCTTTTGTCTAGAACTAAACCAGGACTAAATGAGACCTGAGACCCGGTCTGAGGATTATGTAACGGACTCCGCTGGGGTCTGACCTGATCCAGAGTCCAGAGGCTCCAGGACCACAGGAGCCCAGACCCGGACCTGGACCTAAACTGGACCTTTGGTCTCACACAGAGTCACAGCTGCCCCGGGACAGACTGACAGAGGACTAAACCTGGACCAAAGACCGGACCAGGACTAAAGACCAAGACTAAACCAGGACTAAGACCGGACCAGGACTAAAGACCAAGACTAAACCAGGACCAAAGACTGAGACGAAACCAGGACCAAAGACCGAGACTAAACCAGGACCAAAGACCAGACTAAACCAGGACTAAAGACCAAGACTAAACCAGGACAAAGACAAACCAGGACCAAAGAAGACCGAGACTAAACCAGGACAGGAGACTAAAGACCAAGACTAAACCAGGACCAAAGACCGAGACTAAACCAGGACCAAAGACCGAGACTAAACCAGGACCAAAGACTGGACCCAGGACCAAAGACCGGGACTAAACCAGGACTAAAGACCAAGACTAAACCAGGACCAAAGACTGAGACGAAACCAGGACCAAAGACCGAGACTAAACCAGGACTAAAGACCAAGACTAAACCAGGACCAAAGACTGAGACGAAACCAGGACTAAAGACCAAGACTAAACCAGGACCAAAGACTGGACCCAGGACCAAACTGGACCAGGACCAAAGACCGGGACTAAACCTGGACCAAAGACTGGACCCAGGACCAAAGACTGGACCAGGACCAAAGACCGAGACGAAACCAGGACCAAAGACTGGACCCAGGACCAAAGACTGGACCAGGACCAAAGACTGGACCAGGACCAAAGACCGGACCAGGACCAAAGACCAGACCCAGGACCAAAGACCAGACCAGGACCAAAGACCGGACGAGGACCAAAGACCGAGACTAAACCAGAACCAAAGACTGAACCCAGGACCAAAGACCAGACCAAAGACTGAGACTAAACTTGGACTAAACCTGGACCAAAGACCGGGACTAAACCAGGACCAAAGACCGAGACTAAACCAGGACCAAAGACCAAACCCAGGACCAAAGACCGGACCCAGGACTAAAGACCGAGACTAAACCTGGACCAAAGACTGAACCCAGGACCAAAGACCGGACCCAGGACCAAAGACCGGACCCAGGACCAAAAACCGGACCCAGGACCAAAGACCAGACCCAGGACCAAAGACCGGCCCAAAGACTGAGATTAAACCTGGACTGAACCTGGACCAAAGATTGGACCAAGACTAAACCTGGACTAAACTTGGACTAAACCTGAACCAAAGACTGGACCAAAGTCAGATAACTTAAAAAAGGAGGGTTTGAATGGGGCCCAGGAGAGATCTCTAGATGACT